AGTACCCAGCACAGTAGGGCCATTGAAATGTTCCTAGTGTGTTAGTGAGCTTTCCATTATTATAACAATGCCTGAGTTAAATCAACTTAAAAGGAGAAAAGTTTATTTCAGCCCACAGTTTCAGGGTTTTCAGTCTATGATCAATTTGCCCTGTCACTTTGTGCCTGTAGTAAGGCAGGACATCATGGTGGAGAAACACTGTGAAATCATTCACCTCATAGTTGGGACTCAAAAAAAGACAGGAAGAGACCAGGCTCCCACAATCCCCTTCAAGGTCAAGTCCCTCAACCTGGAGACTTCTCAGTAAGCCCCGCCTCTCAAAGGTCCCACCACCTCCCAGTAGTACTATGGACTGAAACCAAGCCTTTAAAACATGTCCCATGAGGTACACTTAAACCAGAGCATCTGATCAGTGCCATGTCATACTGGTTGTCAAGTGTTTTGGACATTATCACTGGTTTTATTACATCGGTTTAATGTTTATTTTAGTTGGTTCTTCGGTGCATTTTGCCACACTGTAAAGAGATTGAGTGGCTGCTCTAAGCTAACAGTTCCCAAAATGTAGTCTCCAGATCAGCATCATCAGCATCATCAGAAACTAAGACTGGGGCCCGGCAATCTATGTTTTAACAAGCCCTCTGGGAGATTCTGGTATCCATTCAAGTTTGAGAACCACTTCTTTGAGCCTCTTGCCTCCATAAACATCTGAGTGGTCCTTATTGAACAATTAGCCATTTATTAATGCAAGGCACAAACACTTCTATAGGTTATTAGCCTAGCTGAGGGATTAGAGTGGGTCTGATACAGCAAGTAAGCACTATTTGGGTGAATAGTTATTATATTTTAAAAAGTTATGCAGTGGAATGTTCTGAAAAGATATAGTTTTAGAACCTTTAATTGTAGTTTTGATTTTTTATATTTTATAATGTTTGATATCTTGGGGCTTCACAGACCCAGGGAGGAGTGATCTCTCCTAGGTTAGCTATTTCTTTGAGATAGTAAATGAATTTGATACCTTTGCTATGCAAACTATTCTATATTTTTTTGTTTACTTTTTTGAGACAAGGTCTGGCTGTGTAGTTTGGGCTGGCCTTGAACTCACTATGTAGTCCAGGCTGGCCTTGAACTTGCAGCAATGCACCTGCTTCAGCCTTCCAAGTGTTGGGATCACAGGTGTGGGCCACCTCGGCAGGCTTGGCTGCCTTCTTTTACCTCCTTTACCTTTTGCTTTCAGTCTCCCCTGGGCAAGGTACCAGAGCACTGTAGACCATCCTTAAAGAGCAGAGCCCACTAAAATCATTCAGACTACCCACCCTACACCTGCTCCGATGACCATTTCTTCCCTTGAATATGACAAGGCTTTTGCCTGTGGTTTTCCCTCATTCCTTCTGCCTGCTGACCACCTTGGTACATTTCCATGTGTCCCTCTGTGGTATGGTGTGATCCCTCCTCTTGGAAACTATAATAAACTCTTCTTTGAAAGGATCTCTCCATGTATGTCATCTTATCATACCGTATTAAAACAAATCCCAAGTACATTTCAAAACAGAAAACAGTTGAATCTCAATAGTGCTTTGTCATTTACCTATCATATGACCTTGGGACTGTTAATTATTCTTAGCTGGCTTTAGGGTCCTTATCTGTAGAACAGGGCAAAAGATGTCTGTATTGCAGGCCAACAATAAGGGCTGATGATAATACATACAAAGTGAATAAACACTATAAAAAGAGCTGTATGGCCAAGTGGAAAGAGCATGGAATAAAATCCCCGTTTGATTAAAAAATGAACAATTAGAATACATGGATAGATGACGTTCCAGATTTATCTTTTTTTTTGAGACAGGGTCTCACTGTGTGGCCCAAGCTGGCCTTGAACTTGTGGTGATCCTCCTGCCTTAGCCTCCCAAGGGCTAGGATTACAGGTGTGCATCACTAAGCCTGGCTATATAGCCTTAATGTTCAATGACCAGCAGCAGCAAATCTGAAGGTATTTCACACATGGCTGTTTTTTTGTCCTTGAACTGAGAAACCTTTTGTCTCCATATTAAGTGATGGCTACTGTCCCTGTTAAGGAAATACAACCAGATAATTAGTCTTGTAAACAAGAGAATTAAAGGAAGCATAGTTTATCACCTTTCCTCTGCTCAAGTGACATTTTGACGTGCTACATCTACCTTCACTAATTACCTGATAAGCAAATTTACCAAGTAACATAGGAAAGAAACCATTTTGGCCTTAAGAGAAACACAGCTCTATGACCTCCAGCAAATCACTTAATAGTTCCAAACTTCAGTTTCCTTATCTATAAAAAAAGATAAGAAGATCTACCTAAGATGTTTGTAAAAGACCAGACACATTGTAAATAATGTGCTTCATTAGTGAAAGGCCTGGGATTTGAACCCCACTAATATGAAGGGCCTGGCCAACAAAGAAGCTCCTCCACAACCCCTATATTTTTGGCCTTTCATTGGTTTAGCTCTTCCCTGCCTCTCTTACCCTTCTTCCCTTCTCTTTCCAGTGGCTGAAAGAAAACATTTTTCAGGATTTGAAGATTTCCTTTTTTCACACTGAAATTGTGGCCCACATGAGATTTTGCTGCTTGAAACAGAAGATCCTGCACACCCAAGTAATGACCAGATGCACCCATGTCTGGCACAGAGACTTGGCTTCAGCTGCCATCCTTGCCACCTGTCAGTTTAGGCTGAATTTGGTGGATTCAGTTATGTCAGGACAAATAACCTTACTTGTGAGTCCTCCAGAAAGAGTGATAAATGTCGAGGCAAGCCACGCCTTGAGGTGGGGTTTGCCCCTTCGGGAAGTCTTCCCTTCCCTGAAACTTCTGCCTGTTCTTGCAGGTCTTTCTGCTGAACATCATCCCAAAAAATCCACCACTCAAGTTTCTGTTTCTCTGGATGCTTACTGCCTATGTGGCCAGACATGTGCACTTTGGTAGGCTCCGTGGCCTGGTTCCTATGGGTTTCACAGATTTTCGTTCTGGAGTCCAGTTGACCAGGCCAGAATCTCTGGCATGGCATCCTGTTTTCTCCTTCCAAGGCTTTGCACAGGGTCAGCTACCTCAGACATTCACAAGAAGCTTCTACTCATTTACTGATTGATTCTTGTTAAGGCTCAGGCTGGGCCTGTGTGTTCTTAATAGAAGCGAGTGGGTGCAGAGCAGATGTACTTTTCAGAGTGTTTTTTCAGTTAACTTATTTTCACAGTTCTGGAGAAGTTGTAAAGTGTTTTTTTTTTTTCTTTTTTTGACAAGTCCCATTTTTCTCCCCAGAATAATGACTTTTTACTCTTAAACACTAAATAATATGTGTAGTTTTAATATTTACAGTTCAGGCAAAGATGCATTCAACAATGGTTTTTATTCCAAGAATAGCAAATAAAGCAATTTTGAGTTGCAGTTCAGTGTGGGTGTACATTTTGCTTTGTGTCTGTGTGCCATGTAGTTGAAGTGAAATAATATCTTTTAATTCTCACTGGTAAACTTTTTCTGTGAGGAGCCAGTTCCTTGAGAACTGAGTAGTAAGAGAAAGGTCTCACCTGGGGAGAGACAAATTCCTTATCGGCTTAACTCATTGCACCTACTGTTGTAAGAACGTCTTTGCTCATCTCACCATCCTAATCAATGTAAACTCATCAGCATAAGATCCTCATGGTCCTACGATCACCACCACCCTCCCAGACATCTGATACTTCCTCCAATTACAAGATCCTGGTCAATTTAGGATTATCGCCATCCTCTGCGTCATCTGTTACTCTCCATGAATTTGATAGTGGAAAGCTCAGGGTGCCTTCGTCTTTGCCTCCCAGAGCAGCATTGATCAGACCCAGAACCCAACCTCCTCTCTAAGTCTCATTTCCTGTCTTTATTCTTTAACTTGCCTTGTACGTTGTGCTGTCATGGCTCATAGACCAGGACCCACTGTAGGGGTTCTGGTAATGTCCCCTTTTCCTGTTCTCTATGTAGCCTAGGGTGGCCTTGAACTTGTGGCGATCAACTTCCCAAGTGATGGGACCACAGGTGTGTTCCCCCATGCCTAGCAGGCACTGGTGTCTGAGGTTCCTAAGCTGCTTTTTTTTTTTTTAAAGGCAGGATCTTGCTGTGTAGTCCGGGCTGGCCTTGAACTCACTGTGGAGCTGAGGCTTGCCTCAGACTGATGGCAGTCCTCCTGCCTCAGCCTCCTGAGTGCTAGGATAACAAGTGTGTGCCACCACATTGGGCTTTTTCTTTCCTAAGCTACTTTTTAAGGGCAACTGTCTAGGGCCTCCTTGGATGATTTCATTGCTCTTATTTCCCTCTTTACTGTGATGGGCCAGAAACTGTTGTTATTATGGCTGTGGTACTGAATGTGACAGACATGGTCCTTGACCTTATGAAGCTCACAATCTAAGATGTATTATTGGGTCAAGGCAAACATTCCTGGGGGAATCCCATGCTAAGGGCCAAAGCCCTGCTAGGATGTGTTATTGATTAACAGCAACAAAATAACAACAGCCAGTGAACACAGAAGAGCTACAACACATTATGATGTCATAACTCAGACAAAGCCTTATGCTTTGCTGACTGGGATAACTTGAAATAAGCAGAAAGTAGGGTGGAATGTATTACAGAAGAATCCTGAAAGATTGGGAGACTCTCATGCTATGGGCTTCAGGATGACCATAGCCTGCTAGAAAGGACGCATGTTTGTGTTACACTGAGTCCATCAGCACCTGCTGAGCCTTGGTGCAACTCCCAAAGCCATGTGCATAGGTTTTGTTCTCCTGCTTTCTAGATGTAGCTGAACCCCCCACTCTCACAATCTATGGCCTCCAGAAAATCACGAACAGGGAGGTAGTAATTGCGAATTAATGGTATCTGTATTATTGGGTAATATAATCTTATCATTTCAGTAACCTTGCAGTTAACCTTCCCCATGAGGAAAACAGATTTTCATAACTGAAACTTATAATCAGAGAAATCAAAGACCCAGTCATTAATCAGTCTTTCCTATTAAACTAAATGCCTTTGAATTCATCCTGGGGAATCTGCTGAAATAGCCACTTTCTAGAGATGCAAAAACCTACTATCCAGTGGCTGCCACAGGGGAATGAGAGGACAAAATACAAGGGTGCAGTTTTGATCAAAACATGCAGGGAAAAATCCTTCTCCATATCTTTCATGATTGCTAATAAGCTTAATTCATATACTTAACTGTCTTTTGTACAATTCTTAGCACCACAAAGAGGAAGTGCTTTTTCTTCCTTAAAAAAGTTCAATCCAAACCATCAGCCTCTGTAGGTTGTCTTAATTGCTACTTTGCACTGCACTGGACTGTGACTCTGATTTTTGGCACATGCTATCATACACAAAGTTCCTAAAATAAAATGCTCCAGGATATCCTAGGAGCTGTTAGAAGGCTTTAAAAAGGGACTCACACACTGAAAGAATATATTTGATGGAGACAATTCAGGCAAGCAGCATGATTATTGCAGCAAAATTACATGATTAACTGAGATCTTGAAGTGGGTTGGGCGAGTCCTTGCCACCTAACTTATCATGGTTGGGGGGAGGTAATGAGAATCCAGTTTTGATAAAGACAATTGTTTTCTCCTCCCCAAGTGACTATACATTTAAATAGCTAAAACATCTGTTCAGCAACATAGTAAAACATGTATACTCGGAACGCTTGAGAGAAGAGCCTGCCAAACAATCGGTTGAGAGGGACTTTGCTGAGGGAGAGCACCAAGATAAAGCAACCGCTGTTTGTTTTGTCTAGTCAGGGGAAAAGCCAAGGCAACCAATATTTTGAGTTTGTTTTATTTCATTTGTGAAGGATTATTTGAGAAAGGTGGCAAGGGGAGGTTTCCTGACAGGAATTTCTTAAGCTGTCCATTGGTAGGATAGCAAGAGAGCCTTGGATGTCAACACCTAACGAACTCTTGGGACCAGCTACCAAACCACAAAAAGTGACTTTCTTCCCGAGTGCTCTTTCCAGCCCTTCTGATGGAAGCAGAATCAGGAAGCAGCATGGAGACTGGAAAGGGGACCAAGAGATGCACTCGCATTGCCCTGGTTGTGTTCATTGTTGGCATCCTGGTGCTAGGCACGATCCTCTTTCTAGGTAAGTGGAGCATTAGAGACCAGGGGGACTGGATATGTGCTTAGGTGTTTCCTTGTGCTTTGTTTCAGCAAACCTTGTCATAATGCAGGTGTCTGTATGGCTGTTTGCTTGTGTTTGTAGGTGGTGCATCCTCGGTTTTTGTCAAATATGCAAATGAGAAAGGCAGCTTTTCTTTACTACCAAATGTATAATCCAGATGGCAAAGTAGGTATGAAGAAGTTTTGACTGGCTCCTGGATCCGGTTGTACTGAGTAAAAAAAAATTCATGTATTATGTTTCACAAATTGAGCGCTTATGAATTCATAGGGAGAAACTTTCGTTTGTTTTGTGAGGAAAGACTTTACAAAGAGATCAAAACCATGCCAGAATTTCTTTTCATTTGGCTTTTGTTGATGTTTGCCTGAATGAATCACAAAATTTAATTCATGAAGTACAAATCTGTCCTTTAAAATGCACTTTCAATGGTTTTCTTCAAGTCCTTTCTATTCCAGTGTCTCTAATGGGATACAATGCTAACTCTGCCTTCCTAATAGATTTAAAAATGAATAGGGAGGAAAACGGGTTTTTCTCCAGAGATTTGAAAGGTATTGTGATACGGTTTTTTTAATGACGCAAGGTGAGAATTATGTCCCTAGAGGGTCTATTGATGTTAAGAGTGTATTCCTGTGAAAAAGAATCAAATATCTTGGAAGGCAGTGAAGGATTCCCTTAAATTTTAGGCTTTTGGAACCCTTGATTATTACCCTTTTTCTCACACAGCCCATAATATTTCATTAGTTTGAAAGTTACTTGGGAATAAGCCTTTTGCTTAGGAGATTGTAGGTGCACTTTGAAATGCAGCAGGCCTGGAAAAATTCCTTGGCATATACAGGATGCAAGAGGCCATGTTTATTTTGGCAGGGACAAACCAGTAATTAAACTTTAAAAGAGTTAGGGTTGTGTGGTTGAGAACTCTGCTAAAATGAGCAAACCATCTTTCCATGTTTTCTGTGGCTGAAGATTTAGGAAATTAGATGAATTTACTGCTTTCTTGTGAAGCTAAACCTCCTACTCCTGCAACTGAATCTATGGCTTTTTAAAACTGTTGTGAGATATTTTTTCCTCAAAACTTGGGGTTTAGAGACATGTCCCCTCCTGGAATTCAAAACTGGAGGAGAAAATCTATGGGCATGCCAAGGGGCTACATACATACTATGTGGGAAGTGACTACAAGGTTAGGTCTTGTAAACACTTCCAGATTTAAAAATTTAAATGATTATCATGCATATAAAAGTATGCACTCTTTTAAATGATATTATTTCTGCTTAAATCTTTTTCCACATTGCATGTTAATAATCCTTACATTCTGAAGTCATAGCATATTCGTGAAAAGATTCTTCATGGCAACAACTTTTGTTCTTAGAGAGAAAATCATTCTTTGGCAGTAGTGATAAACTGTTTATTTGCAGTGCTGTGGATTGAACCCAGGGCTTTGCACATGCTAGGCAAGTGTTCTACCACTGAGCTACATCTCATCCCTGTATTACAATTTAACTGGGCATTGCTTCAGCAGACCACCTCCATTTGGATGTTTTGTACATTTGGGGACCTTTAATTTTGGTAAAATTTTTCAGCACTACTTCACACTAACCCCTTTCCCACCCTCTTTTTACTGCCTGTCCTTTATGCCCTGTTACCCAGCTGAACTCTGCAGCTAGCAAAGTCTTTATCTGATCTCCAGGGATCGTTCAGGCAATGCTTTTTTATGACAGTATTCTAGTTAGGGCCATCTTTTTAAGGTGCTTTCTGGTTGTTTATTGTGGCATGTTTTTCTGACACCAAGTTTAAGTTCAATCATATGTCTGCAATTTCTAGCATTCTTTTTTATCTCTGAAGCTCTGGGATAATTTCTCTTCTAAACCTTAGTGCTTCTATAGTAAGAGTTATTGCCACTGGCCTTGGGGTGGTGTCAAAGAACATAGAGCACTGGAATTGAAGAGGTTAGATATGACTACATTCCTAGAAGCAGTTTATTTGTAAGTGTCTGTTCTCCTCTGTCCCTTCCTCTTCTTTCTCACAATCTGTTTCTCAGATGCAGTGGTCAGTAGACTATTTCTGTGAAGATCAGATAGTAAATACTCTTGACTCCGTGGTGAGCAATATAGTCTCTGCTTCAGTACTCAGCTCTGTTCTAGCACAAAAACAGCCACAGGCAATATGTACACAAATAGGCACGGCTGGGTTCCAGGAGGATTTGATTTCTGGACAGTGAAATTTGAATTTCATGTGCTTTTTAAGTACTAAAAATGTCAAGGCAAGGCGATTCACAGAAATAAGCAGGCACTGGATTGATTTGGCCTGATATCCCTTCTGTATGGTCATTTTCATACTCTTGACCTTGGATGATTTCACTGTATTCTGAGGGCATTTATACTCATTACAGAGAAATAAAAAGGAGAAGTCGCTGTTAAAAAGTTTTAAGAGCTCCTAATCAGTAAAAAGTAACATTTAAATTTTTATCTTAAAATATTTTTTATTGTTTCTGTTTTATTCATTTATACCTGCACCTCATTGGGGCTTGTTGATCCTTATTTATTTTCAAGATCTTAAGATACCTCACACCCATGGATAAAATGTTCTTCCTTGAGGGGTTGAATTTGTCTCTGTCTTAGTTAATTAAATTAAAAATCATCTTTCTGCTCCTTTCAGATAAAGATAACTGCTTTTTGCTTTGATTCCTTAGAGACTTTGTGTCAAGAATTATTTTTTATGAAAGGAATAAGTATTTAACTGTTTTCTTAACCTTTTTTTTGTTGTTAAAAAAAATAAGACTAGCGGTAAGAAGGTCATTGTCCAGAATAATAAAAATATCATCATTATGTATAATAAAGTACATACCTTTTTCTACTATAAAAATAACACATTCTCACTTAGGAACATTTGGTAAACATGCAAAAGTAAAGTGAAGGGGAAAACTCCCTCCATTGTTCTACCTTTCAGGCATATCGGAATATTCTATGCAAATCTTTATTCTGCTCATATGTTTTACCTGACTTTTGAAAAAAATCAAAACACACTTTTATGCTAAGGAACTTCTTTTCTTAATAATAGGCCTGAAATAGTCTGTAGGTAGTTTTCTTAAATCTATAATGCAGCACAGGTAAAAAGGCTGTTTGGAGGATGGCGGCAGAGAAAAGAACAAAGCAAAATCAGGCTACTCTTAGAATGTGGGGTGATAAATAATGAAACATGTCACACTGGCCGGTGATGTGCAGTCTGCTATCTCTAGCAGAAACATAAACGCCACTGAGCTTTCCGATTGTGTTTCTCTGTTGAGGGTGGCACTAAAGGCCTCTGTGCCCACTCACCCTCCATGGCTTATCTCCTCACAAGCCACAGCCACATCTTAAAATGACTTCTTATTTCTGCTCACAGAGAAAAGCAGTGATGAATTCTTCAAAACTTCCCCAACTACCAAAGAAATGATATCTAATAGTTTTGAAATCTTTAACTAGCATCTGTTAATGCCCAGGTGCTACCTAGAGTTCACAAATAGGGTGTCCTTCTCTATTTCTGCAGAACTTCATTTGGGTAATTTCGCTAGGCAGATGAGAACATGAAGACATTGGTGAAAAGAAAAAGTTGTTTTGATTGTGTGGAGTTTGGTTTGTTTGTTGTTTGTTCTTTGTGGTGTTAAGGATTAAAACCGGGGCAAGACCTGGTTGTGTGTGTGTGTGTGTGTACGCGTGCGCGTGTGTGTGTGTGTGTGTGTGTGTAATGAGGGGAGAAGTAGCTGGAAGTTTAGTCCTCAAAGCTACATATGTCTGGTAGCTAGGCTGGGCTTCAGGGGAGGAGGGTATCTGGGACCCTAGGCAGGCAGACAATAAGCATTGCCAGATGATTGAGTTACACATTGTATATTTTTACCTCCTCCCTCTTTTGGTCATATCTATATGGAATTTAGATAAGATCCAGAACTCTACCACACACGCTGGCTTTCTCCTTCCACTCTGGATTTGCTCCAAATGACATAGTTTAAAAACTTCAATTTTTCCATCTCTAAGTGGGTGACATATAAAGAGTGGAAACATGAGACTTACACCTCAGATAATCGGAGATGGCAGACACTTGAGAGATCATCTAGCCCAACACATCGGCGTCAACTGCAGGGTGATGAAACACAGATGGCCAGCTGAGGGTGTAACTCAGTGGCAGAGCCTGTTTAGCATTGGTAAAGTCCTGGGTTCAGCCTGCAGCACCCCTCCCCCCAAAAAAAACTCAAACTCACACATGGCTGCCTCTGCTCCTGCATTTCGGAGTCAGAAGGTCTGGAGTAAGGCTAAAAATGTGCATCTCTAACAAGCTCCCAGGTGCTGACTAGACTCCCAGCAGCCCTGGTCTAGCTGTACCCACTTGTCTTATGAGAGAACTGAGTTTTAGAACAACCAAGAGTCTTATCAAGGCTACTAGCCAGCTGGTTTTTGTGGACTATGTTAATGCCGACAAAGATGAACTGATATCAAATGTCTTACATATTTGTTTGATGATGATTTACCCGATGGTGGTCTGCTGCAAGTTGGTCATTTATTTTTATCTGTTTTTTCAGTGAGTCAAGGTTTCTTAAGTTTCCAAGCTAAACAGGAGTACTGCCTGAAGCCAGAATGCATCGAAGCTGGTAAGTCTGTTTTCGACCCTGTGTCAAGTTATAATTATGATACCTTGGAGAGTGGAAGGAAAACAGGTGGTATTTTTAGTATTCTGTTTGCTTGAGGTTTACCAAGTATGAAATGCAACTTTGAAGAAATTTTAAGTCTACTTTCAAGTTTCAGTGTGAAGTAGTGGAACTTAGATTTCCTATTTTATTTTTCCTTGCAAAAACAAAACAAAACAAAACAAAAAATCAAAAACAGCTATGTCGTATTTCAAGCCTCCTGATAAGGAACTCAGGAAGGGGCTTGAAAGGTTGTATGGCCTCTCTGAAGACCCACAGGCAGAGACCATTGGCTTCTTATGGCACTATGTCTCTTAAGGCCTCTTATGGCTGGCTGTTTATCTTACATGGTCTTTGCGTATCTTCTGGTGAGTTGGTCTGACCTGCTTTCCTCTAAGCTGAGGTCCTTTGTTAGGGATGTCTCTCGGAATCCTTTGGGTCCTCCTCCCCTTCCCCCTCCTCCTTCTCATCATCATTGTTTTTATTTCTATTCCACTTTTTAAGTCCACTTCTCTTGAGGTGACCAGGCCATGGATCAGTGGGTGCACCAAAGTGAAATTTCACACTTGAAGTTGCCTCAGGTTTCTTACAGCTATTAGATCCCGCCCTACCCCATAAATCAGTGTTAGGGCCTGGATTTACAGAGCTGGATTCTAACACCCATACTCATTCAAGTAGGCAGGAACCCCAGTACAGTTTCCAAATGGAAGATCATAGGACAAGTTATGCATATGTCTTTAAGAGAGCAGTGAATGAATTAATCAAGTATTTATGCATGCCAGGCACTAGTTAGGGATTGGGATATATCAATATATCAAAGATAGGGGAAGAAAAACAATAACATAAAAGGCAGTCAGTGCACAAAAAGAATGTTAGTTAATGGTACATGCTATGCAGAAAACTAAAGTATTAAAACAGAATAATGGGATAGCAAGTGACAGGATGGCTTGATTGAAAAGTCTGAAGTCTTGAAGAGGACCTTGAATGATGAGAAGCAAGCTGCTGTGTGAAGACTGCAGCAAAAGCTTTCCAGGGAGGGCAGAAGTCCCATAATGGAACCAGTTTGGGGATGGGTGGAGCTTGCTGGGTAAAGGACACAGTAAAGGTGATGGAGGACATTGGGTGGCACATGTGCTGAAAATTTGGGTTTTTATTGAGTGTGTTCAAGAGCCCCTGAAGGGTTTTTTTTCAAAGTATATCTTATGAGTACTTAAAAGATCTTTCAGTGGAAAACAAGATTATTGGAATTCTTCTGTGTGGAGAAGTAGTGGAGGGTGCAAGAGTGGAAGAAGGGTGCTGAGAAAGGAGGTTATTGCAGTAGACCAAATGAGAGAGAGCAGATACTGCCTTAAATTCAAAAGACGGGTGATGTAGGAGGTTTAGGAGCTAGAGCCTTGCTGAAGCTGCTGAAGGATTTAATTTGGGCTGTGAGGAAAAGCAGAGACTCAAAGGTGGTGCTTAGATGTTGGGTGGTGGCGTTATTGAGATGGAGACACTTAGGTGAAAGAGCTTGTAAATTCTGAGGACTTATTCAGTCTTAATGGATTAGGTTCTTATGTTACCAAAGATTTTCCCCATTCATAAGTAGTCAATATATTTTTTGATGAGGCAATGTGTTGAGGGACACTATCTCATAAAACCTCTATAAGTCTGTGTTCTCACCAGTCGTACAGATGAGGGTATGTGGGCTACTAGAGGCTAAATATCTTACTCAAGGTCACATTCTGAATCAGTGACAGAGCTGAGATTCAAGTCCACGATTGGCTCCTTACCATGTTTGTCTTGGTACCATGGTACCATGCTAAGTCCTTTGTTCTTTTTCCATAATACCAGGGTAACCAGAATCTAGTGACTAAACCATTTCAACCATGTGACATCTGGAATGATGATTCTTTTTCTTCTGGAGTGGTGTGAAAACTTGGAGGCCCTTTCCTTTTCCTGGTTTGAGCAGTTGACCTGGAGCCTTTTCCAGTGAAGAGAGGATGTGATGGAGTAGGTGAGGGACCAAGTGGCACAATCAGTGACCAAGTTTAAATTTCATGTCACCTAATGCCTTTGCTATGGTAGGGTTCTTGCAGATATAAGAAATTGAAATTTTTGAGCTCATAAATCTTCAATTATGTTTAGACAACTTTTTGCAAGGAAGGTTACTTATTTCATATATTTTGTTTGTTAGAAATCATAGCAATGCCAGTCAAATGTGTAAGTCTGTAGACTGATTTTTGATGATGTCACCTTCTGCCAGCCAGCATGTTTTGCCTTGATGTTTCCCTTTTAGTCTTCGCATTGATGAATGGCTTTTTAATGTTGAAATATATTGATTCTGCTGTTTCCATAGTGGAAGGCTTGCCAAGGACACAGTCCTCTTTAATGCAAAATAAGCCTCAGTATGCCCAGGGGTCTGTGGAACAGCTGTTGAATACACATGGCAGGAGAATTCTGGCTAAACCAGGGCTTTACACAAGAGCTTAGGAGCAGCGGGGTGGGGTGGGGTGGGGTGCGTAGGCACAGGTGCACTTGTGGAAAATTCAGGAGATGGAAGAAAGTGTTTGATCACCTTCTGCCCCATTTCTTCTTTTCATTTTCCTTTCCTCCTCAGCTCCCTGTCCTCTCATGCTAATCTTGCTCTTGAAATTCAAGTTATAGAAAAAATGCAAGGAAATAAGGAAGTGGCATGCTAATCATAGTGGATAAGGGTAGATAGGAGAACTTGGGTTTGAAGAACCATCTAGCTACTTATAAGCCACAGGACCCTAAGCTAAATACATAACCATCCTAAATTGCATATTCACTGTCTGTAAAATGGGAATAACAGGTTTTTAATTTATTAGTTGTGAGAATCAAAAAATACAATGATAATAGTAATCCAAGTCCACAATGCCCAATATCAGAAAATATGGCAACTCCCAGTTGGCAAGGCCAAATCAATTTCTTTGATGGCAAAACCCTGTCTTGTGTGAGAGACTGTTTTAGAATTTATTGACCTCACTTAGGATTATGTGCATTTTTCCCCATAAAAATATGAATGTGCTTGCTTCAGGGGTCCACTCCAGACATTGTTGAAGTAGTATATCATCTGTGTTTATACATTATTTCTCTTCCAAAACCTGAAAGTCTAGCCTCAGGGTTTCAGGTAAGTGTTTATGGAATTATAGTAGCAAATAGCATACAGCAAATTTTTATGTTCCCAGATTTAGCTAAATACATACATATAGGACGTTCAGTTAAGTTTGAAATACAGATATACAGTGATGACAGCCTATTTTTGGTGTAAATGTATCTCATGCAGTATTTCATACATACTTATTCTACAGAGTAGTTTATTTTAAATTCAAATTTCACTGTGCAATCTATATCTTGTCTGTATTTATACAGCAACATGCTTACACTTTTATAAGCACTTCACATATATTTACTCATTTAATTTTCATAGTGATGCTAATATGGTGTTATTATTTTTATCCCCATTTTACAGATGAAAAAAACCAAGACACATAGAGGTTAAGCAGCCTGCCTTAGGTTATTCAGCTAGTGGATATTGTTGCTATTATTTCGAATCAAGTGGTCTGACTCTAAAGTTTGTGATCATGCTATGTTGCATGAAGAGGGCTTTGAATAAAGTTCCTGGCACAGAGGAGAAGCTTAATGTTTGTGATTTTATTTTTATATAAATAATAAGGCGTAAGCCCTAATAAAGTTTTTCCTTGAGCTCTGATTAAACCTAAAAACTCAGATTGGTATGTTTAGGATGCCTTCAGCTGCCCCACGTATACTAGCTGAAGACTGGCTAGCAATTGACCACATGTGCAGTGACTTGAGAGAGCCCACAGCCTGAGCTTTCACAGGTCTCCCTCATCATCATATTTCTTTTATTAAAACAAGACTTGCTTGGTTTTCTCCATGGAGCTGAGTAGGGGAAAAGGAGTTTTCATATCTTGACAGCTATGGTCCCCTTGCAATTTGAAGTCACAGTTCCCCTGCAGAAAGTGCAGCCCTGTGCCCAGCTGTGAATCGTGAATGATAAATTGTGAGACAGAGGGAAGCGTTTTCTCACTCAGCAGTCTCCTTTCCAAATTCAGCGTGAGTGACTATGCACCCCCACTTTTGTATTAGGGCTGGGGTCAGAGCTGACCTAGCAGTTTTCCTAGGTACCTGCAAGAAAACTGAGGAGATGGAGAGGTTGGGGGCAGGGGAAGTTCGGGAAGGAAGCCAGAAAGCAGTGAGTTTATGTGAGTAACAATGTGCATAAGGGCTCCCATGTGTGACTGTAAATACTGTGTGGGACTGAGATTTGTGTGATCCATGTCCCAGAGGTGTCACATAGCAGATTCATTCTGTGGCTGCACAGACTAACTATAAATACGAGCTGCAAGGAAGATTTTGTATGTCTTGGCAGGTTTGCATATTAAATAGTAAGGATAAAATGATAGCAGTGAGCAAAAACGTAGAGACAACTGAATTAGTTCTGAAAAATCAAAACATTAAGTCAATTTGAAATTTCACAAACTGTAAACCAAATTTTTGATAGTTGTTTATTTGGAGGAAGGGAGGTTGCAAAAAGTAGGGATTCTGAAGTCCTATAGAAATTCAGATGTTTGTATATTATTCACTTCAATCAGGATAAAAAGCTCTTGGAAATTTTCATAGAAAGTCTAGGCTAGAGAAATACCTTTTTTCAAGCCTGGAAGAGCCACTCATGTAACCAAACTATAAGATGTATATCTAAATTTATGCACATTTTACTTTGCGGGGGCAATTCTTATTTAGCTGAGAACTCATTGAGCTTTCATTACTTCAAACAGCAATATATTCTGGCATTAATTAAAGTATTTAAATTGCCCAGAATATCACCCTTCCAATGTCATTAAAATACTGGCTGCTTTTTTGTAATCACTTGGTGTAGATCTTTGTGCCATAGTGGTAGCCAGCAATTGTATGGCAATTGGAGTTCAATATTAGGAATCTTTGAACATTCTCATTTGGTAATGAAATATTTTCTTTTAAAGCTCACGGATATATATTTACATACAAATTTCCTACCTATGGACTACCTTCCTTATATATTTGTGTATAGACTTATGAAGGAAGGAAAATGGTAGATTAGTGTATTATATCTTTCTGTTAATTCATATGAATTCTCAATTCTGCCACTACACCTGGGGCTCTCATTTACAACACCCCACTTTAGTCCTCCTCTGGCTATGCCTCTCCCACAGTCAAGAAATCTGTGGGGCCAAGCTTGCAGCCCTATCCTGGAGCCCAGAATTCCCTGCCAAAGTCTCCAATCATGGCTTGTGTGAATGTCTTTTAAGGCTTCAGTCCTCTGAGAGCTGCACTGGATGTCAAAGGGCTCAAGAATCAAGTTGTTATGAAGTCACACTGTAAATAGATCTTTAAAATGTGTAGGTAGATGACATGTGGGCCTCTTCTTCAGTTACCCTTTGATGTGAAACAAACTACCCTACACCTTGGAGGTGAAACAAGAATAATGTAATATTTCTTCTTGTTCCATGGGTTTTACCGGATGGTTCTCTATACAGCTGCCTTCCTCTGGATGGTTGCTTGGGCTGGAAGGTCTGTGATGGCCTCAGTCACAGTCTGGCATTTAGTGTTGGCTTTGTTCTTTTCCATGTGGCCTCTTGTTCTCCAGGATACTTCTAAAAAGGCTGGTCTTGGGGCTCCATCTGAAGTGAGTTAACTGGGAAGAAGCAAGGCCTCTTAGGTCTAGCTTTGAAACTCACGAATAATCATTTCTGCTAATTTTGTTGCCAAAGCAAGTGACAAAGTTACTTCATATTCAAGGTAGAGGAAATGGGCCCTAGTAGCAGTCACTTTGCAGAAAGATGTGGGATAAAAGAGTCACACTTAAGTTTGTAAACAATCTACCACAATACTTCATTTATATTCTTGTCTCATAACCCACAGATGTTAGGAACAATCCTGAAAAACTAATAAAAATAACACCATCAAACTTTCACCCACTCAGGCTGAAGCACACTCATTTCGTATAGCAAAGTTGATTCAGAGAGTCATTTGAGGGGAAATGTAGAAGCCAAGGCTTGGGAACTGGTTGATGTGAAATTGTTGTTTAATTTGTAAAAGAACAGCACACAGTGTTCAGTGCTTGTCATTAATCCTATGATTTTCTTTTTAAATAGCTGCTGCCATATTGAGTAAAGTTAATCTGTCTGTGGATCCTTGTGATAATTTCTTCCGGTTCGCTTGTGATGGATGGATAAACAGTAATCCAATTCCGGAAGATATGCCAAGCTATGGGGTTTATCCTTGGCTGAGACACAATGTTGACCTCAAGTTGAAGGGTGAGTGTCTATAGGAGTTTGATGATGCACTTTACAGACACCAGTATTTGACAAGAAAAATATAGCGTGGGATTTAAAGTGTGACTACTCACTTTTTCACTGTACTAGATTCATTTCTAAGAATTTTTTTTGAATGGAAGCTTGAAAGTGCAGAATTCCATTCTGCCAGATCTCAACTGAAGTAGGTTATGTTCATATTTGATTAAGCAATAGTTAAGTTCTACTGCCAAAGGTTAAATAACATTTGATTGAGATTGGGAGCAAAGGAATAGTAAATGAAAATTATGTTGCATCAATAGACTTGTCTGCTGTTTTCAGGGTCGACTTCATTTCTTGCTTATGTGTCCTGGATTTTCATGGCTTACAAAATGTACTGAACACCTCATTGCCTTTTGACATCACTTTAGAGACCTCTGGATGACCTGTGGTTGTCATATTGTTCCTGTTAGCTTCTCATCTGGCTCCAGGGAGACTCACTTTTCTCCTGTTGCCTCCTCTAGCAGTGACAAGCTCACACTCACATACTCACATGTGTGTGCATACACACACACACTCACATGTGCTAGTCTTCTTGCCTGAAGAAGTTGGAAATGTCTGTTACTAGAACATATATTTGAATTGGATTTCATTTTTATGCTAAGTTTTGGAGAAAGCCACCTGAGGAAGGAAGTAGAGAGATTTCAAAGCCAGATAAGGTAATTGTTTTGAGAGAGTAAAAATAGTATGGCTTTACTCCCCTCTTTTTGACAACTGTGAGTTATGCCACGTAACTTGCATTCAGTTACACCTACAAAGAATTTTTGAGAAGTGATAAGAATTACAAAATTTCCTTCTTTCGCCTCTGCCTTTTCCCAAGATTTCAAGTACACGAAAATGAAATGTACATCCATTTATATGTATAGGACTTAATAACACATGAAGCTATTTGCAAAATAGTTACCCATTGTCACTTGTAAGGAAAAGCATAATTAAATTTCACAACTTGGAATAAATTGCGTGGACTTATATTTTCTATCAGAAGGCTCAAAGTTAGTTTTGTTAACTTATAAATGAGAATCTGAGAATTTCAAGGTATTCCTCTAACCTAACAAATGAGATCATAAATAAGACCTTGAACAGTGCATTTATAAACTAACATTTATTTTCCTCTAGGATATTGATTCATGTTGGTTCTTCATTTACCATTCTTGTCCATCTTCTGTTTTTCTTCTCTGGCTCTACTTCCTTGATAGAAAAATGTTCACACACAGCCATGCAAACAGGAACATCACATCATTGAAGAACAGGAAAAATACAGGATTTCCAGATAAATGCTCCCTTTTACATTTGTTATAGCCAAAGGATTTATAACCTCAGGACATGAGGTGGTTACAATAATTCAAAGAACTTTTTGGGGATAGCTTAATTTTAAAATTAAAATAAGTGTTGATGTGCTTTGTTTGAGGAGGGCGCTGTATATGGGGTCCTTCGAAATTCATAGAAATTAGAATAAATTGTTGGGAGTAGCACAGGGTTTTTGGTTTGTTTTCTGGTTTTATTTTAAAAGGAAAGCCTCATAATCCAATCACCTCCCCATATTCCCATCCAAGATCACACAAGATGGGGATATGGGGAGGTGATTGGATTATGAGGCTTTATAGCTGCCTTGCTGTTAGGAGGTAGGGTATGGTCTAGAGAGGTGGGGTCTGGGGGACATGGACCATAACTCCACAAACTGTGAGTCAAAATAAACCTCTCTTCCTTTAGTTTGTGGGTTTTGGGTATTGTGTCCCAGCAACTAGGAAAGTAAGATGCTGCTATTAATTTCATTTACTTCAAAATACTCCACCTTTCTTTGGACACACTTAGTCCATCTTTCTTGCTACTTCCTGAAGCAGTTCTGGAAGGCTTTTTTTTTTTTTTCTGAGACTGGGTCTTGCTATGTAGTTTAGGCTGGCCTCAGACTTGTGGCAATCCTCTTCCCTCAGCCTCCAGAGTGCTGGGACTACAGGTGTGTGCCACCATGCCTGGCTTGGAAGGCTTCTTTTATGAGTGTCTTTAGTCGTACTCTAGTGGCTGCCTCCATGTCCTGAATTGATTCAAAACATTTACCTTTCATGGTCACTTTGACACCGGGAAAGAATCAGAAGTTGTATGATGTGATCTGTTGAATAGGTGGGTGGGGACACACTCTGGTGCTTTTAGGAGCCCTCCGTCCCGTTGGATTTCATATGGTAGCAGTATTCACCGTAGTTTTGAGTGTATCTCATAAAGATACTCATTAAAGATGAGCTGCTTTGGGAAGTGTCAAGAACAATGGGTTATGGGTGTTTGAAGCAAGGGGGAGTATTTATTTGGAGGGGGATTAATGGCAATGTGTCTTTTGCTGCAATACTTTTTAAAAATTTAAACATTCACCCTCTACTTTGATCTCACCATATGTATGGTGTCTGATTAACTATTCTTTATTGTTTCTAGTTTGCAAAATGCTTGATTTCAAGAAAAACTTCTCTTCACTATTTATCAGGGACTCAGATGGAGTATCTTCTTAACTTCTTTAGATTTCCCCTTGTTGAACTAAGCTTCTAATTTTGAAATAAATCCTACCCAATAATGGTTTAAGACACTGCTAGAATTAAATAAGCTAATTTTTTGTTTCATACATTTATGTCTATGTTTATGACTCTTATTGGTCCATGAATTTTTGTGTGCTAAGTTTGTGAAATTTTATTGCCAAGACTGTACTGACCTTCTGAAACGAAGTGGCAGACTTCCTGTATATTTCTATGTTCTGGGAAAGACACAACTCAAGAAATTCCAAGTTGTTTTGTGACAAGCACTGTAAAGGACAGATTCACAAAGTGATCATAAGGCTCTTGCTTCAAGTGTTATGGAGAACAGGCCAGGTATAGTGACACACAGCTGAAATCTTGGCACTCTGGGAAGGTGAGGCAGGAGCATTTCAAGTTCAAGTTCAGCCTGGGCAACTTAGTGACTCAGCAAAACCCTTTCTCAAAATTAAAAAAAAAAAAGGGGGGCTAAAGTGTAACTCAGTGAGATGGCCCTTGGTTTAATCCCAAATATCAGGAAAGGAGGGAAGGTAGGCTTTTTAAATTGGTATCATCTTGTACCAGACATATATATTTGGAATCTAAAATATCTATTAGTTTTTGAAACTCTTTATTTTTGAGATAATTAAGCTTAGTACAATTGAACAGGTAGCACAAGGAACTCTTATATATCCTTTTTTTTTTTTTGGTACTGGGGATTGAACTTGGGACCTTAGGCTTGTGAGCCAGGCGGCAGAGCCACTGAGCTAAATCCCCGGCCCCCATATATCCTTTTTTATACAACTTCCCTATTTGGTACCATTTTGCCGGGTTTGCTTTATTATTCTCATTTATATATATATTGAAACTGCTAGTGTGTTACAAATGATTAGATTTTATTAAAGCCTGTAAATATATCTTTTCAAATATCCAGTGTACTTTTTTTAAAAAACATTGGATCTTTAAAATTCATTTTATATCCCTTTGTATGTTCTGTATTTATCTATGTGTATGTCTGTCTGCCTGTCCAACTGTCTGTCATTCCATCCAGGTCATACAAACTCATTACAGGCCAACTAAAGAAGAAAAGAAAAATCCTACAACCTAGTGATAAACTTTTAAAATGCAAATATGCATATAAATTCTGCTGTAGAAGTTATATATATAAACTGTATATCTCAAAAGGAATCATATTTTATTTTTATAATCCTCTCTCTCTCTCTCTCTCT